CAGATATACAACTCTTTCTCTCTCTCCAAACTGCTTCACGTCTTTATTCCAATGTCATTTTCTTAAGCCTTCTCTGGCCATCTGATCTAACAAGGCAGACCATCCCCCTCATGTCCCCCTTCTCCCTCTCCTACTCTTTCTCCTTAACACTTATCACTATTGAAATACAACATATTTTATTTACGTTGTTTATTGTCTGCCTCCTCCATAAGAATGTGAACTCTGTGAAGGCATTTTGCTTTCATTTACGTTCGCTCCAGCGACCAAAATACTGGCTGATACATAGGAGGTGCTCAATAAATGATTGTCGAATTAATGCACTAAAAATTTCAGTTATATTTTTCATATACATTTTTTCCTACTTATGCAAAAAGTCCTAGGAAAAGGAAGACAGAATCAAATTTGTTCTAGTTTAATTAGGCTAGTCTGATACAGGTGAATGTCTCCCAAGAATAGCATATCAGAACTCATTTACTTAATCCTCATTTATACAGCTTTCTTTGGTACGAGCAGAATGATGTTAGAAGGGATAAAACTCTACCTCCAAGTAAGAGAAACTTAATGAGACTAGTAGCACAATTAAGAACAAACACAACCTGAGACATTAATGGTATCTATTTAAAGTTATAATTAGATTGCAAGGATTGTTTGCACAGTGATGCAGGCTTTCCTGGAAGACAGTTACTATATATGAACTCTTGTCAAAAACACTGTAGAAGATGTTTGGCCTTTTGTGAAAAATTGACCTAGAAGACCTCTGAAGTCTTTTCTGCCTGAACAAATTAGAAGCCAACGACAGAGAGGAGGAAGCTGCTGTGTGAGATGTGCAAGACTAGTAGCTAAAGCAAGAATCCACAACCACATTTCATGTGTTATAGTTTTCAATCTTATAGACTCCCAGTGAGCTTTAGCAGGTGAGAAGGTTATTGGTTTTTGGTTGGTTGGTTTTGTGTTTTAAGAGATGCTGGCCAAGGCTTGCAAACCGAACTAAAATACATTACATTATTATTACCTATTTTTTTTTGTCTAATCAACTTTCAGCTGTCTCTGATTTTGCTTGAAAGAATATGTACAACAAGCAAATTTCACTTTGATATTTTCCATTATGAATTCATAAGAACATTCTTCACTGCCCCTCTAGTAAATCAGAAAACTAAATAAATATGGTATAATACTAGATGACATGATTTGCAGTTTTAAACTCATAAGCCCTCTTGATCAGTAGACTATCAGGGGAATAGAAATTGTTCTCTACTTCTTTTATTAATTATCCTTTTAGTTATGTTGCAATTTTAACTTAACCTTAGAAGATACGAAATAATAAAGATTTGCAGTTACAAATTGCTCACCTTTACATTCTTTCAGGTAATCTTAAGGATCATTTTATGAACTTATGGCTCTAATCATACTATTTATTGATGCTTCTGTATATATATATACACACACATATATATGTACATATACTCTCTCTATATATGTACATATATATGTGTATATACAATATGTATACAATACATGTATACAATATATATACAATATGTACATATATATGTACATACAATATGTATATATAGTATATTGTATATATACTATATATACATAAATATATATATATATATATTTTAATAATGACAAAAAACATGTGAAGTAGTAATTCTTATCAACATGATGATAATCCTGGGGCCCACAGATTTTAAGTAACTAGTTACATTTACACATTTTAGTTTAAAAAATGAACTGTATTCAAACCCAGGTTGAAATGCCTTTTGCAGGCTTTTAATTCCCACACTGTGACCATCTTACAGAAGAGTAGAGTGAGTCTTAGAGAAGCCAAGTGACTTGCCCAAAGTTGTACACCTAAGAACTGGAAGAACCAGGAGAGAAAACCAGATACTTCCCAAACTGCCCCCAAGCTCCTAGGAAGAGGGTTCTTTCTGTTCTTCATAATAAACTTTTTTTTTAAATGTATGACATTTAATAACAGTATTAGAAACACTAACCCAAGTCGAAAGATGATGGAATGGCTACATATTTAAAGAAAAAGAAACGGCAAAACCTGCAGAAGAAATAACTAAATTTCTTAGCATACGATGCAAACTTATCAATAGCCTAGTCTAAAACACTTTTATGTCATAGAATCTCAGACTGAAATTTTCTCAGGGTGGGTATTTATAATTTCTTTTTACATATCCACAAATGTCAAATTAAATTCAATATGGTTAAAAGGCATAAAGGTAAAAAAGAAAAGAAATAGAAAATGTAGGAAACTATATGTACATGCTTTGAAAAGAAGGTTTTCTTAAACAATCCTGAAGACCTTGGAAGATATATATGTAAATCTTAACACATACATGACTATTAAAATGTCAAATGTCACTTCTATGTGACATTTGATATTCCATACCCTTATGATTTATTTTTTATTTTGGAAATGCTAGGATACAGGAAGTATACCCGGTTTGCATTACCACAAAGAATGCAAGGTATATGGGCTGTGTGTGTATGTGTGTGTGTGTGTGTGTGTGTGTGTGTGTGTAAGAACAGAAGAATGAAGCAAGACCTTATCTACATGTGTCAACTTGACTGGCTACCTCTGAAATTCACAAGAGTCTCTTAGGGTCTCACTATTTCGTGAGATATATTATATCTCA